ACTCTCGAAATGGCTGAATTTATCGACAATATTCACAATACTGATATATATTTGACTTCAAATTTATGTATTAAGTTTCATTCAAGTAAAAGTATTCAGAAGTTGATGGGGAAGACCTATGTTCTATAGTGGATTTCTTAGAGCTGATATGATAATGATTCTAGTCAAAAGTATATAATATCAGGTGCCTCTTCATAATCTTATACTATTATATAAAGCGGAAGAGTTTGTTTTTTTGTTTGTTTGTTTGAAAGCGCTAATCTCCGTAACAACAAGTCTGATTTGATTAATTCTTTTTGTGTTGGAAAGCGCATTTATCGATGATGGCTATAGGCTATAAAACATCACGCTACAACCAATAGGAGCTGAGCAGAGCGTGTGAAACCGCGCGGAAGTAGCTAGTGTCTAATAAAACATAACATCACGCCTTTTTATTCCTGAAGGGGTAGGACATTACGGTACTTAATGCCACTGTACAATATAACACCCACATTTTCACTATTTATTTTATGAAACCCATGTAATAGGGGGTGAGTCTATTGCCATATACCGGGCGCACTTCCGCTTTGTATAATAGTATAAGAGTATAAGGTCGATTTTCACCAACGAAACTGATCACGATTACACCTAACAAAACTGAGTTAAAGCGTCTAATCGAATTTAGAGCGTTTAATCGAAGTTACAGCTCCATTTTACATTTCACCGCTACAAACAGAAACTAGTTTACACGGAACGCAGTTTTTGACAATGCTCTCGACGTTTAAATCAGTCCTGAAAGTGTATTAAAATGCTGATATTATTATCTTACTCCTGTGACTCAACATAGGTTATTTTTATTAGAGGTCGATGTTCGGCCAGTAATTATTTTATATTTCTTTTAACATATTGTTGCTGATTAAAACTAATGAACTCATTCATGACTCTTTGTTTATATTTTATTATAAAAATAGAGTTTTTATTTTGTATAAAAATCATTTAATTTTATATTTTAGCCTCTACATTTACCTCATTAGACGAGGACTTGGGTTCAGTGCCCGAACAGCAGTAATAGTATTATTTTAGCATTATTCAGATCATCATACGACACTATATTCATTCTTATTATATAGATGGTTGGCAGGCCACAACTGTGCGCTTCTCTCGTAGCTTTCTGCCTCGCAAAGCAAAACTGTGTAATGGTCCGTCGTCGACGGTATTTTTGAACCATTACGACCTTCAAACCTGAAGGTTTCTTGAAAGAAAAGAGCGTATTCCTTTTTAAAAGGCCGGCAACGCACCTCCTTTGGTGTCTCCTCTGGTGTTGCAGGTTTCCATGGGCGGCGCTGATCGCTTACCATCAGGTGATTCGTCTGGTCGTTTACCTCTTATTCCATAAAAAATGTCTTAATTGTCGATAAAATCATAGTGCCAATTAAATAAACGTCAATAAGCCTTTACGAAAACAATTAAACACAACACAAAACTTGAAACAAACAAAACCAAAACCGAATCTTAATAAAAGTTCTCGAGAAAAGGGGCACTTAAACGAACACTCATTAGTAAAACATCATTAATATCTCAATAAGTTAATCTAAAGTCGAGAGAACTGCTAAAATATTCAATTTGACGTCTTAATCTAATTAATACTTAAGTAAACCGTAGCTAATTATATTATCAAAATAGATTTTAACCTCTTCAACTGTTAAAGTATTTGGTATTGGAGACTTACTTAGAATTCAAATCTCTGTGCCTTTTATTCCTCGACGGGATTTTGTTTTTTTTAAGGGGGGAAAATCATCGAATGACTGCTCCCACCTGGGTGAGGCGGAAGGGAGTGTCAGACTCTTACTGACTAAAAACCACCCCGTTCCTTCTCCTGCACGTCGAGCCGGAGCCCCGGTTACCCGTTAGGTTCTCCACGACTCCGAATCGGCATCGGCCCTATTGGGCCCCATCTGTGGTGGTCTGATGGCTCTTTGAGGCGCGCGCGGAACGCGACGCGCCGTACGCTCGGGTCTGTTTCTGGTCGGACGGGGAGCCACCCATGCTCGCCATCCGCAGGCCCGCACTTACGGTGGCCGGAGATGGTCTCGCGATCCCCGACGCCCGGTGTGTCCTTCGCGATGGCTGGGTTGCGAGGAGGCAGCGCTTCGCTGCCTCACGCGTCCCGCCTCCTCCTTAGCTAGCTCCTCGACGGGATAGGCAGAGAAGTTGATCGTAAACGTAACAACTACTTATGACCAGATATGAAATGATTATACGAGTCTCGTGTAGAGTGGCCCAAAATTCAATTCATTCAGTGTGTAGATAAGCTCAAAATTAGATATTACTGTAATAGATTGTTAAAAATCTTAAATACTTTAACCAATCCGAGAAAGAGTGGAGCTTTAGACCAGTTGCCTCTGTGAAAGAGCTATCCCTTTGTTCGGCTCTTACGATAACCCAGGAAGAGCTGGGACACTGAAAGTTGGTTTACTTTGACGTCATTCTATGGTAAAAGTAGATAGAAAAGTAAGGATATTCTACCTCTATTTTAGATAACTCCAATACCTGCCTAGAGATACGCAACATACGAATATAGGTAGAAAGGTTTATTAAACAGTCCACGTTGGGATACAACACAGCTATTTCAGAATAAAAAAGCGTTCGTAATTCCCAGGCATCATATATCTACCTACATGGACCCAAAATTAACCCCAAACATATTTCCAACTTAATTTAGCGGGTGAAATAAAGTGTACATTAATATACGCGCAAACTGGCTTGTTTTTTGTTACGTAAACAAGGAGTATGTAGTTAATGGAGTGCTCAAGGTCAACTGTCAGTGGATGCGGTGTTAAAAATTCATGTGACTGGACGCAGATTGGATTGGATAATTTAAGTTCTCTTGTGATTAAAATTTAAAACTTTTTGTTGGTCGAAAACAGGATTTTTCGTGTAACTTTATATTACCTACGTAGCTGTGACTTTTTCAATCAACCAGTGCTCAATATTATGAACTTGCCTCCATTACGTACATGTCGGTCAAGGTGCTCCTTCGACCTGAAAACGTGTAATGAATACTACACTCTTTTAACTGTCTGTAAAATTATTCCACAATAAATAAACACACCTTATTCCTCCATTTTTACAGCAAACTCCTCTATGTTACAAAACAATCCGGTTTATCTCCACCTCTGTCAGCGCGGCACGAACACCGACGAGCTGGCCTGAAATAAAATTAATCCTTTGGGATGTTCCCCCGTAGGATTACGGGTTACGACTCCATTCTTTACTTTTCCAACACCGTAGAATTTACTTGACAAATCGGAAAGGGTTATGTGAATGTCATATTTTAAGATGCAGGTAAATCTTAAAAAAACACTGTCATTTTTTATACCTCATTGTTGGAACCTTCGATCAACAATAGTTGCTATTGTTGATCGAAGGTTGGAACGTTCACCAGTTTGACTGATAAGGCCTCCAACACACCTAGCTATAATAAATAATGAGTACTAGTCTAATAAATAAACTAATTAATTACTGTCCTAAAATCTAATTAGATTTACAAACTATCTTAAATATTTAAGTGTGGGAGAGCCATGCTTCGGCACGAATGGGCCGGCTCGACCGGAGTGATATGGCCTCACAGAAAACCGTGAACAACGCTTGCATTAAGTTTCGTCGTGTGAGTTAAGTTAGCGGAGGCCCAATTACGCCCTCACCTTCCCCAATCTCGCTAACCCCTGAATTTCTAACAATTTTCAATTTCCTAATCCCCAAAAGGCTGGTAACACACTTGAAACGCCTCTGGTGTTTCAAGTGTCCATGGGCGACGCCGATTGCTTACCATCAAGTGATCAGTGAGATTACCGGCTTATCCCATAAAATAAAATATTTTTGGGGGCTTGCGAGATTTTCCAAAACACTATTTTATTTAAGAGATGTGTCGGATATGTGGTAATAGACTCGACATATGTTACATGGTACCCGCAGTGTCACCAGCAAAAAAAAATAAGCATATATACGGTTGAATTGAGAACCTCTTCCTTTTTTTGAAGTCGGTTAAAAACGATGTCAAAGCGTAACGGTGCTAGTTAACATTCAATCATTATTTTTTTATCTACCCCTTCTTGGGAAGGCGTGACGTTATACAATGTCGTTTGTTTATATACAAGAAGGATCAACGCGATAAAATTCCGAGACGCTGGCTCCGGTCCTAGTGCGCACAAATAAATGTATTCCAATGGAAATAAGTTGTTACTCAAATGAAAGTGTCGCTGTTCATGTACAAGTTATTCCGAATAACTATACTTTGTCAAGGATTTGCTAGCTTACTGCGTCTGACTTCGCCCATGGATAGAAGGTTTGTCTCAAATAGCTCTGTGCTGTGTCGCACCGTGAGTTTTTCAATGTATTATTGAAATTATAGTGGTTGCGTGGTCTGGTGTGGGTGTCGCTTTCTATCAGGCGCTTCCCATCTGCTCGTTTGCCTCTTATAAGAATAAATATACCTCTGAAAGGTTTATTTTCCTAGGTTATTTCATCGTATAGATTATTTCAATATGTACAGTAGTTTTCAAGCCTAATCTATGCAAACAAAATAACAAATCGTTCCTCTTTGTAATTAGTAAGATTTTGAATTTTTTACATAATAATCGGAGAACTTAGATATAAGTTTTTCGATACATTATAAGTATTCTCAGTTAAGATAAGTCCATATATCCTGAACTAAGCTATATTATTTTTGACTGAACAAATATCTCTGTTACGCAATATACAATTCAGAGCTCACAAGAAACGCTGAAAGTGACTGAAACTACTGAAATTTACATTTTACACCAGTTACATTCCAATTTACGCTGTCACTGTGTTCGTTGTAACGGAAAACGTCGCAAAATGATAGCAACATTGTCACGTAGCGTAGTATGGCAACACTGAGATACATTTTGTGCGCTACGGTATTATTTTGTTATCTAGTTTTAAGTAGTCTACTTTCACGCGAATTAATGTGAATTTTTTTCTTTGTTCTTGCTAACAAGGGATTGGATGACGGCGATTTCAAAAACGGTAAGTTTTATTACAATACTTGTTTATTATATTACTAGCGACTCATCCCAGCTTCGCATGGGTGCAATATGCATGTATTATACACATAAACCTACCTTAAACTGTCAAACACCAAGCGGTCACCGGTGACCGCAACCTATTGTTCTATAATTGTGTCTACAAAACCGGTACTCGACGAGTTAAGAATTAATCTATCTATTAAAAGCAACCGCATCAAAATCCGTTGCGTAGTTTTAAAGATCTAAGCATACATAGGAACAGACAGACGGCGGATAGCGACTTTGTTTTATACTATGTAGTGATAGTGATAGTGATATCTGCTTATTGTTCAAAAAATTCTTGGAATTGGATTTAACAGTAACTTTCTTATTTATTTATTTATGTATTTATTCATGTACACAACACAGACAATACACAGAAAAAAATATAAGTATATTATAACAAAACAGAGGTATGTACATAGGTACTGCATATCCCTTATGGGATTTCTTCCTGCAGCCCTGCGAAAGGAGAAGCCTGCCCTTTCTTTATACATTTTCGTTTTTAGTATATCTAATTAAGACCATTTTGGGATAGCTTAATGTAACAATCATAACATCACGTCGTTTATACCCGAAGGGGAGGCAGATGTGCAAATTACGACACTTAATGCCAATATGCAATGTTACACCCATTTTTCTCTATTTATGTAATGAGTCTTATATAATAGGGGTTGAGCCTATTGCTATATACCAACAACTCCGAACTCCGTGATACTACTGAGAATTTTTTTAAAACCCAGTAGCATTTTGCCCGATTCGGGACGTGAACTACGTACGGGCAAGGGGACTCCTTGCCCGGCAGTCGCTCTTGCGACCACTCGGCCAACGAGGCAGTTACTAGCGTATTGTGTAGGCTTATTACCTAGGTATAGTATTAGTAATTATTCTGAGATATTCTTTTGTTTTTAGCTACCAGCCCCCCCTCACATCGAGCTGGTAATGGCCATGCCGTACCTCCGCACAGCATTCAAGAGACCAACCGTCAGAGTCAGACGTAAGTTTCCTTTATTATATTTATATCTTATTACGACAATAGGGATGATGACAGGGTATGAAAATTAAAAATGTAATTAGTCCGTAAGTTAGGTAATGAAAAAATATTAGACACGTATTTTTTTATTTTGTTGTATATAAAACAATATTAATTAGATAAAACGAATCTAAGTTTAGGAGTGGGAGCTAAAACGTCATTTCTACGTATAAAATGTATATAGAAGTAACGTCACGCGGCATTTCAAATCAATATATCGTCGAAAGTATTCGTTACTGTAAGAAAATAAAAAATACGTGTGTAATGATTTAAAATAATCTACCAGACGGACATTAAAATAAAAATTAGGTATCTACCCTATTATGACTGCAAGGTTAGCGCGGTGGCTGGGCAACCGATTGCCGTGTAACATGCAGCGGATTCGATTCCCGCACGAAGCAAATCTTTGTGTGCACCACAAATTCATGTGTGTTAACAAACAAGTTCACATAGAACTTGTATGTTTGTGAACGCACCCACGACACGAGAGAAAATCCTAATCCTAATCCTAAACATTTAAAAAATTGAACAAGTAAATAATAATCGTGTCCTTTACTACGCAACACTTACAATATTATAACAAGCGAAAAGTAGGTGTTATTAACTTATACGCGAAGTCATACACACAGTGAAAAGGCTCATATCCAAAGGAACAAACTCTTTTTCTTCTTTGACGTATCTTTCCCCTAAATTTTTCACAAAGACAGAATAAAATTTAAGTGTGGGAGAGCCATGCTTCGGCACGAATGGGCCGGCTCGACCGGAGTGATACCATGGCCTCACAGAAAACCGACGTGAAGCAACGCTTGCGTTGTGTTTCGTCGTGTGAGTGAGGTTACCGGAGACCCAATTACCCTCCCCTTCCTCAATCTCCCCAATCCCTGAATCCCCAACGATCCTCAAACTCCTAATCCCCAAATGGCCGGTAACACACTTGTAACGCCTTTGGTGATCCAGGTGTCCATGGGCGACGCCGATTGCTTACCATCAGGTGATCCGTCTGCTCGTTTACCGGCTTATGCCATAAAAAAAACATATTATATACGATATGCATTCTTACAAAATCATTGAAAATCTCCCTTAAACATTGCACAACAAAATCAAAGCCTCAAAATTATACATACACTTAAATACATAGAAATTCGTCTCCATTTCCCCGTTCAAATCGATCACTGCAACCTACGTGGGTACAAGTAGCTACTATGCGTAGTATACTAACAATTGGACGTGCCAATAGGAGGGTTTCAAAGGATAGCACGTGCTGCTTTGTTTACCATAAACACGTGCACTTACCGGTAGCACGTGGTGGATATAGCGTATCGATATAATATGTATTATTGGAATTAAATAAGAGTTGAGAAAATTAATTGATTTATTATCTGTGGTAAGGTGTTCTACTTGGATGAAAAAAAAAGAAAGAAGTGCTTTGCTCTTGTATATTCTCAGTTTAACTTGTGTATGTATGTATATTTGTGCGCGATTATCTCACAATTGGCTGAACTGATATTAATGCGGTTTCAGTAAAGTGGTTGTTGCACTTTTTTTAGAGGGTAAAATCATCTAATAACTTCTCCGGCCCGGGTGAGGCGAGAGCAATTGTCAGACTCTTACTGACTAAAACCCACCCTGTTCCTTGTCCTGCACTTCCAACTGGAGCCCAGGCAACCCGTTTAGCCCTTCGGCTCCAAAAAGAGGGAGTTGAAGTCGGTTTTTTTAAACGATGATAATATTATTATACAAGAATTATTATTTGTTCCACCTTGATTATGTAATTTGAATTGTTTTTTTATTGTTGGATTAGATTATTTTGTAAAATACTTATACATATTACATCTTCAAAATGAAACCCAAAGTGTCAGGGAAGTAAATTACTTTTTAAAATATCTTTTTCTGACTACATTTATATGCGTATGACATGGATATTTTCCTAAAAACACAGTCACAAAGAAGTCCCTTCCTGCTCAATGTTCAAAAGAAAAAAACATCAATTAAAAATGTTTAATTAACGTGCGTCAAATGATTAAAGCGAAAACATGAGAGGGAGTAGAGAAAGGAAATTAAATTTTAAGTCTCAGGGAATAGGGTCGGAATTGATTCTTGATATACATTTTAATCGGAACCAGCGTCCACGGTCGGATGGTTAGTCAGATTGAATTCGAAGTTACGTAATCGATTAGCTGATGCGATTGTTTCGATAAAATCGAAAATCGATTAATGGATTGTTCAGCGCATTGGGAGTTATATCTCGTTATTTTATGTTGATTTGGACTTTGAAATTTCAAATGTGATTTTTTGTAAAGGTTATTTAGTTTCAATTGGAAATCATGAAGTTGTATTTTATTGTAACTATTCTAACTTTCTACAATATTACACTTTACACGTTATATTTTTTTATACATACTGTAGTTAGTCGTTATTACATGGGACTCATAACATAACGGATAATTAGTGAAAAATGACAATAAAAAAGGGTGAGTCTATTTATCCCTTCGAAGACGAAAGGTCTGTTAAACCAAGGGATCCCCTATCCTTGGTTTAACACACCTTTGTCACACACACACAGCACAAAAATGTCCCACGGTTTTTAACACATTACATAAATATCCCATGATATGTATCAGCGACATGTTGAGCGAAGCCTGGCGATATCGCCCGACATATTATAAGGCGACAACGCGCACCTTATGTCCACAGCGACGTTGATGTTGCCAGACATCGATCAAAGTATGGCAACGTCGCGCAACGTTGTTGGCGACACGTGTCGCAACATTTGTCTCCTAGAGTATCCTAGGCTTTATGTTTCTCTCCTTTCCTCCTCACCCAGACGGGAGCAGCCATTCGATGATTTTCCCCCCTTAAAAAAAAAGGCTTCGCACGGATGCAATATGCATGTATTATACATTTAAACCTTCCTTAAGAATCACTCTATCTATTCAAAAAAACCGCATCAAAATCCGTTGCGTAGTATTAAAGATCTAAACATACATAGGGACAGACAGACGGCGGATAGCGACTTTGTTTTATACTATGTAGTGATGAACTTTAATTAATTAACCTTTGTCTTATCAATCAATACATAGTATAAAACAAAGTCGCTTTCGCTGTATGTCCGTATGTATGCTTAGATCTTTAAAACTACGCAACGGATTTTGATGCGGTTTTTTTTAATAGATAGAGTGATTCTTAAGGAAGGTTTGTATGTATATACATATTGCACCCGTGCGAAGCCGGGGCGGGTCGCTAGTTACTAATAATATGTTTTATAGTAAAAAGCCATCATTAAGTTCAACAGCAGCATTTACAACATTCGACATGAACCAGCGAAACATTATAAAATCAAGGTACACGCTCAATTTACAAGTAAAAAGGAGATGTTTTACCTAGACATGTTGCGCTCGGCTTCCATTTTAACTAGATGTGGTTTTAATCTCATTAGTAACTACACAGCACTATCTAAGTACCACTCTGAACTCAAACTAACTACGTCAGAGTACATTTGTATGACGTCACGTATTTATTTAATTTAGCCGCGATAAGATAAGCCTGTATGCTAATTATTACGATTTCTGTTGAATAATTCTACGTGTTCTCCAAGGAGTTTCTGTGTTAAGATATTATTATCTGTGGATGTATTTTGAGGCTGAATGTTTGTGTTTGAAAGGGAAATTGTTTTGTTTTATAAGGCAAACGAGAAGACAAATGACGAATTGTAACGTCAGCAGTCATTGGATAATTTTTTCCCCCCTCAAAAAAGCCCTTACAATTGCCACTCGCAACACTAAATGACTTAAAAGTGCATTATCATCATCTGCCTGTAGTTATCCCACTAGGTACTTCTTCTCACACTGGTTCTTCTACAAGAAGGGTTAGAAGTTCTTTGCTGGTCTTTTTTATGAGATAAGTCGGTAGACGAGCAGACAGATCGCTTGATATAGTAGGCAATCGGCGTCGCCCATGGACATCTGGAACACCAGAGGCGTTACAAGTGCGTTACCGGCCATTTAGGATTAGGAATTTGAGGATTGTTGGAGCTTCAGGGATTGGGAAAGAAAGAGGGGGGGGGGGGTAATTTATTTATTTTTTATTATAGAAAACTCAACAGCTTATTTAGTAAATGCTACATTTATAATAATGGAATGAGCACCTAGCTTCACCTAATTTCACTGACGGACTGACTGACAGACTATTATTTATTTTGTATTTGTTGACGTTTCAAAAGTACCAAATTATGGTTTAATTGAAATAAATGCTTTGACTTTGACTTTGACTTTGAATGACAAGGTATGGAAACTTAAGCCAATAACAGAGTTTTTCGGAGTCCGGTAACCTCACTCACTCGACGAAACACAACGTAAGCGTTGTTTCGCGTCGGTTTTCCGTGAGGCCGTGGTATCACTCCGGTCGAGCCGACCCATTCGTGCTGAAGCATGGCTCTCCCGCACTTTCTTCTTCTTCGGTGTTTTTAAAAAGAGTAAGCCCTTTTCCTAAAGTTTATCTACCTGAAAAAGTGTAATCGCTAGTCGAACGCTCGTAACCACGACTGCCGAGTAAGAGGTCCCTTGGGTTCAGTTCTCGAATCGCAAAAAGTTTTATTGAGCTTTTTGGAGATATCGCGTCGTCTTACAATAGGTACTATCCTTAAGATGCTTTTATAATTATTAGTCCTATTAAATGATGATTGTGAAAGGATTTACCAAAAATACATAATGTTATTTACTAAAATATACGGATCTCATAGGAGAGATACTAAAAAACCTAGTGCAAAGCGCCCTTATGCCGTCTTATGGGTTACTTTTTTTTTTAAAAAAAAACGTTGCTCCACAGTAGGATTTTCTCCTGTGTCGTGGGTGCGTTTACAAACATACAAGTTCACATACACAATGACACCCAGACCCGAAACAACAATTTGTGGATCACACAAAGTGTTGTCCCGTGCGGGAATCGAAACCGCGACACGTTGCACG